CCATTTGAGGTTCACTACTCAGTCAGCAACTCTTGTAAGGCCTGGCATATGCACGGGTGTCATGGTATTTCTTTCAGAGATTACATGTTGTTTAAAATCTAATAATACACTGGTCATTAATGTCACTGAAATGTTTGTAACAACTTTGTATGTGAAATTATGCATACTCTGATATTCTATCCTGGAGACTGTAAATTAAACAAAGGTGAGAACGGGTTCTTCCACGAGGAAGGAAAACATGGTGGCAGATGTCTTGTACAGGAAAGAGGGCTCTGATCTTTTGCCTATGTTTAGCCACTCTCTAACCCTCCTGCAGCTCTGTAAGGGTGAAGGTATGACCCTAAGAGCATCCCAGGGCCAAAGGGTAGGAGGCTCCTGGGTATCAGGTAGTGAGTTTCAGCTGTCCTGTACCCCAACTCACCATGGTTATAATCTGTAATCTAAAATGTGCCTTATGTCCTTGGAAAACTAATACGTGCCGACCCTCGCTAGTCTGGCACCGTTGGGACCTGACCAGTGCGGAACCAGAGAATTTGCTGGACCATGGGAGGTCGATATTGTTTAGCAGCATTGCTGGGCTCTAAGAAGACATTGAGGGGTAAATTAGAGCTAAGTAATAGCACAGAACACTGAGAGTCAGGACTGGTGGCTGTAAACAAACTTTGAGACTGTGGGAAACTTGGCCACAGCCATGATAAGTGGACATGCGGCTAACTAAAATCATGCCGTACTGCAGATATAGCCAGCCCAGAGTGTACCGGGCTAGAGGAGTTCAACCTGTAACTCATTGATCGATCATATTTTTGCATGATGTAGCTATGTGATGTGTATTAAACATTATGGATATATTGTAGAAATATGATGCAAATGTGTTTTAAACCTGGCACATCGGGGGAATTGATAAGCAGTCTGCCTTAGACAAAGAAATGTGTGTTTCTCTGCTAGTTATCAGACAGAGATATTGAGGGTCTATTTACATGTTGGGTAAAAAATAAAAGATAGCAATCTAACAAGTGGGGGAGGAGGTGATGCCTCCACCCAGCAGGAGAGAGAAGCTTAGCTGTGTTTTACTTTCCAGAGAATACATCACACATTTTTACTAGGGATGTTAATTGGGTTTAATCAGCTAATTGAGTAGTTGATGGAATTCCCATTGATTACTCAATTAGTCAAAAAGCGGGGAAACTGCAGAGCCATAGTGGGGGAAGCGACTAGTCGAATAGTGACTCGACTACCCAGTAAGCATGTGCTTATTGGGTAGTCGACTAGTTGCTTGCATCCCTAAAGACTGGGTGGAGTGTTCAGCAATTGCATCTGCTGATTGCATTCAGTATTACCGTATTTTAGCAAATATAACCTGCGGGTTATATTCATTTTTACAAACCCCGCTCATCTCCTGCGGGGTATACTCGGGTGCGGGGTATACAAACATTTATTTACTCACTACCGTATTTTACCGTATTTTACCGTATTACCCGTGGGTTATATTCGTTTTTATAAACCCTACTCAGGTGCGGGGTATGTAAAAATTTTTTATTCACCTGGCCTCCAGCCTCTAGGCAGAGGAGCGCTCATTTCATGTGTCCTGCACAGGAACACTCCCCATGCCCCTTCCTGCGGCTGCACAGGAACTGGGAGATGAGCATTCCCCCACCTGGAGGCTAGAGGCTGCGCAGCCACAGGAAGGGGCAGGGGGAGCATTCCTTCGCAGGAACTGGGGGATGAGCGTAGAGCAAATCTTAGTATGGAACTGCTTTTCCAATAAATGTGTGAATATCAGAGGTTGTGCGGCTTCGCGGGAACCAGGTGGGGTGAGTGCTCCCCCATCCGGAGGGTGGCTAATCTCTCTCCCCCACTCCCACCCCCCGCACAGTTTTAAAAAAAGTGTTGTATACCCTGCGGGTTATACTCGTGTGGGGTATACAAGATTTTTTTTTACTCAAACTGCAAAAACCGCGGGGTATACTCGGGTGCGGGGTATACTCGGGTGTGGGGTATACTTGCTAAAAGATGGTACTGTATGATAAGTGTGTTGAGCGAGGTCTTTTATGAAAGTCTGACACACTGGTGACCAGTACAGTTGTGAATTGTATGTATTACCATTGCATAAAGAATTAGGAATACTCCTTAATATTAATAGAAATGTAGCCGTGTTAGTCTGGGGTAGCTGAAGCAAAATGCAGGACTATGTAGCACTTTAAAGACTAACAAGATGGTTTATTAGATGATGAGCTTTTGTGGGCCAGACCCACTTCCTCAGATCAAATAGTGGAAGAAAATAGTCACAACCATATATACCAAAGGATACAATTAAAAAAAATGAACACACATGAAAAGGACAAATCACATTTCAGAACAGGAGGGGAATGCGGGGGGGGGGAAGGAAGGTAAGTGTCTGTGAATTGATGATATTAGAGGTGGGGAGAGTGGGACGTCTGTGAGCTAATGGTATTAGAGGTGATAATTGGGGAAGCTATCTTGGTAATGGGTAAGATAGTTTGCGTATTTGTTCATTCCTTCCTGGAGAGTGTCGAATTTTAACATGAATGACAGTTCAGAGGATTCCCTTTCAAGTGCAGATGTAAAAGGTCTTTGTAGCAGAACACAGGTGGTTAAGTCATTGAGAGAGTGTCCTTTCTGGTTAAAATGGCAAGAAACTGGTTTTTCTTTGTGATCTTGTCTGATATCTGTTTTGTGGGCATTAATCCTTTGGCGAAGTGTCTGAGAAGGGGAAGGCAGAGAACATCCCTAAGTTGTTGCAACTGGGAAAGATGGGTCCCTTAACCAATAAGGGGTTGAAGTCTCTGGAAACTGAATATAGGTGAGACTCCCACAAAGGCAAAAAGATCTTTCACTTAGGAAGAAAAGGGAAGCCAGCATCTTGTACTTCTGTGGAAGCTCCTGACAGTGAGTCAGCCATGGCTAGGGAGACTGATCAGAGAAACCCTCTTGAACAAAGCCTGTACCTTCCTAGATAAAGCTTTAGACTTTTAGATGTGATTTCACTTTTATTTGCCTGTTGCCCTTTCTAATTATATTCCGTTTTCTTGGCAGCATGTAACTTTGTCCTATTGTTACTGTAAAACAAATTAATGCTGAGT